ATAATTTTTAATGATACAATAGCCATGATTATTATTTTAAAAATTTATGTTAGGCCTAACATTGAAGAAAATTCAACGCAAAGTGATACACAACAGAGAAAAATTTCAACATGAGATAGGTTAATATATTTTTCATACATAATTGGTTATCCGAAAAACAAGTTATCCAAACAACCCCAACTGATTCAGATAAACAAATCAATTGGGGTTCTACTGTATATTTATGAAGAGCAAGCATATCAAATGTAATTATTACAAGGATGGAATAAGAAGTTCAATTAACAATTAAAAAAATATTATAAGCAGTGGTATCATTGATTATATTGCATACTGACAAACTGCCATATAGCATTCATTATAAAATCATCATATAAATTCCATTTTCATAAAGTTCAGCTTCATAAGCTTTGAATTTTTCATATATCCTTTGACAAAGAAAACTATAAATTATATTTTAACAAATCTCACATATTCCTTTATTTTGGAACATTACATGACTGTAAACATTAATTATATCAAGTTTACATTAGTTAATTATAAGCATAATGTTCCAAAACTTAAGAAAAACATAATTAAATGATTCAGATTAAACAATAAAGCAAAAAATATCATTGAAATGCATTGTGATCTCTACAAACATACATAACTAAAAGAGGCATTTTTGTAGAGATCACAATGCATATCAATTATACTATTTCAGCAATTTGAATAAGTTATGATTTTGAAGAACAAAAATAAAAGTGAAGCCATTATTATGATGAAAACATAAGATGAATGTTTATTTAGTTGCAGACAGAAAATTTGCAGTTCAACACTTCTTTGTATCTACAGGGTGTCCACAGTCTGGGTACATAAGGATTAACACATACTTTTAAAACAAAATAATTTTATTTGATTCTAATATTAATAAATTACATTTTCAATATGATTTCCATCATTTTCAATACATAATTTGATGCGCCATAATTTGTGGACACCATTACCAGTCACTGTGCTGAAATCGACGGCAATACAGACCTATTTAATCGAGTTCACCTGAGTTTTGCAAGACGCATCAAATTATGTATTGAAAATGATGGAAATCATATTGAAAATGTAATTTATTAATATTAGAATCAAATAAAATTATTTTGTTTTAAAAGTATGTGTTAATCCTTATGTACCCAGACTTTGTGGACACCCTGTATGTCCACCCATCTATACCATACCCTATGTCTACAAAACTTCATCAAAAGAAAAATGGTTCTCTTGCTTCCAATACCAAAATCGATGATGCAACTCTCTAAAACATTTCATTTGAACTTTCTCACAAATAACTTAAATATGTTTTATTTTGACATTCTAAAACCAAAATGTTTATTCCATTAAACACTTCTGATTTATGTCCACATTTTTTTTCATTCCATGCTTGACACCCCAAACATTTTTTCAAATTTAAATTCCAAATTAACCCTATAAAAATTCTGCATGGTTGTTTCTTAATCCTAACAGAAGATTCAATAAATTTATTCTGTTAATTATTTAATCTTTAACAATTAATTATGTTTATTAATAGAGAGTTGGCAAAATATCAATGGTGGGTGACCTA